CGGACGACCAAAGGCACGGGTGTGCCGAATGAGACGCGGTACTGGGTGTGCGGGTGCACAACCTCAGGCAAAACGAAAGACAATGACAGGCAAAACTGTACAAGGGCGAGCTATTTGTTTGGTTTTGGATTTTATGCTCAAGCCCCTACCAAATCGCCGGAAATGCTTCTGTTGAGTGCCGATGAAGTTCAGGCCACAAGAAAATTAGTTCCTACGGCGAGAGAATTGATCTCCCCTCAAAGGCACGGGTGCGTGGTTACGCAGGAAATAGTCCACCCCTTTGTCACGGACTGCACCTTCCAATTGTGGCCACCAGCTCAAAGTATTGGACTTATAGGCAGTGATGGTGTAGATGTTGGCGCGTGCAGCTTCGTCACAAACGTCTTGGCGATCGTCAACGTGGATGTTGGCGCCGCTAGATGTTAGAACGGGTGTCTTACCACCAGGACCTACTGGATCGTTAACCACAGTTACAGTGCGAAACGGAAGGCCCTGTGATCTACAGTACTCCGCAAGGTTATTTGCTTCTTCTTCTGTCTGCCGACCGCGGGCGACGCCGCTGAAGGAAACAATATGGAATTCTATTCGGCCTTGTGCGACCTGCACTAAGCTTATGAACTTTTCCAAGATAGAATTATCAAATACCTTAAGGGCGTTTCTGGCGCAGTCGAGGGTGTCGTGCCAGTCGAAAAACACGACTAGATTATTGCCACCGCCACCTCGCTCTTGACGAGCTCGGATTAAAGGGCCTAAATCTAATCTACCCCCTGGCGCGCGAATCGCAGCACCTGCCTTACCTCTAGTAGGAACAGCTGCTGTTGATGTAGAAGACGCCACAGGTGGTTGCGGAGGTGGTGTTGGTGGTGTCGGTGGTGTAGACACTGGTGTCGCAGGTGGACTAGGTTTTGGGGACGCGGTCTTATGGGCTTTTGGCACAGGACGATCGGGTCTAGGGGGAACCACAATAGGAGGTTGTTTAGCAGGAGGCTTAACTTTATTATGTTTTTGCTTCTGCTTTTCCGATTGGTGGTATGCCTCTAGTGCTTGGCGATGTTTGCGATCGGCAAGTGACTCTACGTGTCTTTCCCAATCTCGGTCCTGTCGTTCTTTTGAACGTGCCCAGGCCGCGTTGAGTTCCTCCTCGGTCGGCGCCGGTGGATCTGGATCAACACCTGGCTCGTAAGCTTGGCCAACAGTTACGGAGTAGTTATAGGGAGGTCTAGGAGGAGCCTTGTACTTCTTTTTGATTGGAGGACCTCCTACTTGGGGCGCACGTGCAGCCCCTTCCCGCCAGGGTGGAACTGCTGACGCCGACCTACTTGCTGCACTAACTCCGGGTGGAGGCGGCTTAACTTTAGCTGGTTGGGATGATGATCTAGGTGGTGGCGGACCTATTGATTTTGGAGGAGTCTTGGGTGTTGGGATATCAGGGACAAAAACCTGGGCTTTGGTGCCGTCTCGAAAGATCTGGGTTTGGATTGTACCTGAAACTCTTGTTGAAGAAGTTGTCACGGCAACTGGAGCCTCTTCCTCAATTGGTGTGTCCCTGTGACGTGATCTGGAACGTTCAGCACTTTTTGCACTGGGCGACAAAAACCTACTAACACTACCTCTTGGGGACGATGCTTTTGGAGATGGCTGCAATGGAGTGCTATGTTCCTGAGGCGCTAATGGAGCAGCCTCTTCCTCAACCTCAACCTCAACTTCTACCTCTTCCTCGCCCTCGGGAGGGGCTTCAGGAGGATCAGATGAGTGGTCCTCTTCCTCCTCGCCTTCGCCTTCTTGAGGTTCACCGGGTTCAGACGGATCGTCACCCGGGGCTTCAGGTTCGGATGGAGGCTCACCTGGAGCGGCAGCGGTTGATGTTGGTTCGAGTTGAAGAGGTGACCTACGTCGGGATTGATAAACCTGCCTACGCCCAGAAGAAGTTGTTGTAACAATAGCCCTTCTTTTTGGTGGAGGAACTGTAGTTTCTTCTTCTTCTTCAATCCCTTCTACAGCCTCTGAATCAACGGCAACTAGGCCTTCAGGTTCTGAGATCGGGATTACCTGGGTATTATGGGAGGATACCAATGCAGTGTTGCTACCAACCAATGACGGATCCCGCCAAACTTCGTCAGCAAGTTCGTGTGGGTCAACGGATGATGTAGCAGTGCCAGGAATGGCAACAGGAACAGTTGTGGGTTCCCTTCCAACAGAGCCAGGCGGCTTTGAGATACGCACCCAAGTGCCCTCAGAGTTTATTATCACAGGGGGATAATTACTATCAGCGGGTCTTAGGGCTATTGGTCGGGAACTAAGACTAGGGGTACCTAAGTTACCACCCCTTGCACGGCGCAACACCTCAGTGTCCTGATCTGCAAAAGAACCGTTAGCTCTCGGGATGAGAGTGGCTGGAACCCGTGATCTAGATCGGCTCACTGGCTTAGGCGCAGCGGGTGCTGACGCGGCTGGGGTCTTATCGATGTTACCACCTTTAACTTTTCGGGCAGGGGGTGTGCCAGCTCTCTCACGTGGTCTCCCACGCTCCGCTTTGTCCAAATCGGCCGCCGATGGCGGTGGATGAGATGGTGGCGGAGGGATCGCTGTTGCAGCCCTGTCTCCTCTTGGCGTTGCAGCTCTTGGCGGCCGCTGCGGAGGGGGTCCTAAAGTTTGGTGGAAATCTCGATGTGCTGGCACCGGAGGTGCTGGATAACTTGGTGGTGATCCTAATCTATTTAAAGGATTATTCTTGGGAGGCTTAGCAACTTTGGGGTCCGATGCTTTAGGCTTAGCCGGTTCTGGCACGGATGCTTTTGGATCGGATGCTTGCTCAGCCTTCTCAAGTTTAGGGCGCTTTTCAGCAGCCCCTCCCGTGACACGTGGCGGCGGAACACTGGCTACGGATTCTGAAACTTTCGGAGCGGGTTGATGGCCTGCAGGTCGAAGGGATGGCACCCACGGCGGTGGATGACTAGGCTCCTTGGGTTCTGACACTGGCTTAGGCCTAGCTTTAGCTTTCGGTGGACCCCTTGGTGATGGTGTGTGGGTTTCTTCAGAAGAACTAACACCCCTATCTAATGTTGGGTCAACACCTAAGGCTGTAGCTTGCTCGGGTTCAGATGGTAGTTCAGTATTTTGGGTAAACACACTAGCTTTGGCTTTTGCCTTACCTTTTGGCTGTGGACCCCTATAGTTATCGTAGTCGTCCCAAACGGATCTAGGTGGATCTGAATCCCCAAAAGCCTGCAAGTTGATGTGATCCCTATCAGGTAGCACAGTGTTTGCGGCAGTATCTGGAGCAAGATGCAATTCACCTCTTCGATATCCGTTGGTAAAAACCCAATTTCTATAAGGAGCAAAGGTATTGGCAAAATGGACTAAGATTTGGTTCAGCGTACAATGATTGTAGAGGACTCTAAAGACACGGACAGTCCAGATCAGTTCAGCGGATGCTTCTGAGTGGTGGACGTACCTGAGCCAGAATTCTGCCTCGTTCCAAAGAAAGTCAGCTAGTTTATCAAAGTCGGATTGCCAACGCTGGATGAGCCTTTTGGTCTGGGCTTTCTTCCCGCCTTTGGTACCACGTACACGGGGACCTCTGGACGGTCCTGCAGGAGAATGGCCTGTTTGGACGTGCCCAGATGTTGAGGCGCCTGCGGCAGCCCCTTCCTGCTCAAGAAACGGTGATGTTGGGGGCGGTGGGACTTCGTCCTCTTCCGCTACCCCTCCAAGGTGTTGGACGTAAACCGGAGCAAATGTCGAATTAGGATCTGGCTCAACTACGGATGGAGAGCTTCCTACAATCGGATCTGCGGCGGAGTCTGCAACCTCAGCACTAGTTTCCTGATCAGGGTTATTAGAAAAATCAACTTCTTCTTTTGTAGTTTGATTTTCGGGGTTATCACTTTCGAGATTGGTATCTGCTTCAACTAAGCCGGATGCTGCAGCTTGATCAGACGGAACAGTGGGTTCAGCTTCGAGTGCCTCAAATAACTCTTCAGCAGTGACCTCTTCAGGTTTGACTGGGTCGAGCAATGAAAGTGCGTCGAACTTCAAGATGTCGAAGTCCTCCTCGTCGCTTGGGGCGCAACCTGCGGCCCCTCCCACGTCCACCTGGTCAGTTGTCAGCTCGGGCGCGTCTTCAGAGGCGTCTGCCCAGTTGAATCCAGTACTGCCTTCAGCAGCGACTTCAGCGCTTTCAGCGGCTTCCGCCTCTGCTTCCGGGTTCCCGTCAGCAACCGGTTCGGAGGCGCTCAAAGCAGCCCCCTCCAACAGACCCTCTGGTACCATACAAGGTGAAACAGGGAATCAGCGAAAAAGATGGGATAGTGAACGAGGTTGCGTGGGGCCTAAGTTACCGACAAGGGAGATTAAGACTTTCCCAGCAAAAGAACACTAAGCCAATACGGCTGATAACCAGAGAAACAAGGGGAAAAACACAAAACCACAAGTTAATCTCCCTTGCCCCATAGATCACAAGCACTTATTTTGTACTAAGCACTTGAGCCATGTAATTACGGATTATGGCATTAAACCCGACTGGATTGGGGATAATGCTACCGTTACTATGTACATGGCTATATACATTGAATGTTGGAATTGCGATGACTGTACAACATCATTAGTAAGTTGGAATCATAGCTACAGTGTGGAGTGAGCTAATACTAGTATATACAGTGGTGGTATAGGGGTCGTAATATTTCTACTTATATAAGGTATAACGATGTCAACATACTTCATCCCATATGGTCAATACATGATTCAATGATGGGATAGTGATGATAACTGATGAACCTCCACTTGGGTTTTAAGAAACTGTTACTGGGATGTAAACGACCCCAAAATGCAATGTTACTGGGATGATTGTATAGGCTACTGGCTTAAAAAACGCTACAAATATGGGTAAAACAATAATAAGCCACCCATGACTGGGAATGGTTTATACCACCTGTTTCTGGTGATGACTGGGGGATGGTTTATTTACATACTCCCCAGAAACCTTCACCAGAGCTTCTCACCTCAAGTTGCAGAAGTCGTAGTTCCCCCGGGCAAAATCAGCACCGCTGCCGCGTCTGGGGTCTCACTGGGTCCTGAGGAGTCTTCGGAAATTTGGAGGGCCGAAAGCAACCCGACGAAATCCAAGAAACTTCCCACCTGGCACCAGTTCCGAAGGTCTTACTTCAAAAAAAGTCTGGAAAAAGACTCATAGGTCACCAGCCTGCAAAGTTGGGCCATTTTAGGTTGACGTGGGCAAAACAATGCCATAAATAAACCATCCCCCAAATCATCACCATTTTTATAGGTGGTATAAACATCTATGTTTACCATTCCCAATATGGATGGTAAAAATGGCATTGTTTTACCCACATTACCCTCTGGTAAACTAACATAGCTATGGAAAATCACCATTTTCAATGGGTAAATCCACTATTTCTATGGCCATTTTCAATAGCTATTTTGACATAACCAGAGGGTATATGCCTACACTTGCCATCATTCTGATGTCGACCTTGTGAGGCTCGGAGACTCACGGGCACTGATTGCAACGTCGCCACGTCTCTATAGGTCTTGCAGTCGGTTCCCGGACAAATCCCCGTTCTTGTTGCTTTCAGCATCGTTTGGGACGAAAATCCGGGTGTCAGATTCCGACTTTTTTCATCATTTCTATGGGATGATAGAAAAGGGTATCAAGCAACCCCAAGCTTAGTTTTCTCTTGATTTATTTTCCATAGCCACAGGTTTTCCCAGTTCCATGGGTAAAAATGTAACAGTTGACCATAATCCGTTATAAGTTATAAGCCATTAACTAATCCGTTATGTAACTAATCCAGTCAATCTTTTAACTCATGTTTCCCAATTTGAGATCATTTTTTTCCATATGTTTCCCATTCAAAATCCTTTTTTCATCATGTTTCCACATTTTTCCCATTCAAAGTTAGATTTTTGGGGGAATTTTTGCATGACAAGCATCCGCTGACCCGCACCAGGTGACTGGCGTCCAGCCGTCCGTCCACTTCAGGCCGTAGGGCTACGAGCACTGGCTGCGGGGCAGCGACACGGTCCTGGGCGAAAGCACATGGAGGTAGGGCCTGAGGATACCTTGAGAATCTTTGCGGCGTACGTTTATTATGGATGTATGTATGTATGCATGCTATGCATGCATGGATGTATGTATGTATGCATGCAATGTATGTATTTATATGTATTTATCCTATTTTATCCTCTTCAGAAGCAGTTCTGGTATGCATAGATCCATTACTGGACCATACTCTTGCCGGGTTTCTGAAATTTGGTCTGGCTGAGGAGTGCGCTCCAAGCAGTTGCCGAATGGATATGTTTCGAAAAATCGTGTTCAATCTTGAGCAAACCCATAGGAACAGGATGGCCCAGTATCCGACGTGAATGTTGCATAGCTCAGCCTTCCCCACACCCTGTCGCCTGTGGTCGAATTTGCACCACCTTCGGGTCAGAATGGATGTTAAGGCACAGGGTGTGATGGCTGACAAATCTATACAATTCTGTAGCGTAGAATTCTGCAAGCAGAAGCGTTTTCGAGAGTCCGAATGAGGTTCGACGGGAAAACTTCTAAATTCACAAGTCACCAATACCTTCCACATAATTTTGTTCCGCATATCAGATCTGAACCAATCTACACCATATTTTCAATGGTTACCATTGGGCGGATCATCGCTGATGGCGGTCGGAAGTGTTGCACCATATACCTCTTGCATTGACTTCAAACTACCCTCTGGTGTCATCATGTGTCATCAAACCTGGTTTGCCGGAGAATCCCCTATCATCCCCTATCTATATAAGTGTCCCAGATAAATCTCCATTTCCAATGATTTCCGAGCTAGCATGTTTGATTACCAAAGGGTATTCAAAATTGTCGCTGAATATTGCTGCATTGCTGTTGCAAATCGGAACCCCCCCTCCCTTCAGCACACCATGGTACTACCGACCACTCCACATCGATGGAAAGCTGGTGAGGTGGACCAAATTCATTGAAGTCCACCAAATTCTACCCAGATCTTCATGATATTTCATGACATATCTTTACATCTCACTTGTTCCTTGGTGGAACCAACTTGGGGAAAAAACATGTTGGATGTATCAGTTCCACCTGTCGCTTCGCCTTGCCCTTCTTCTTCCGCTCCGCGCCGCCGCTTGGCTCCGACACCGGCAGCGGCGGCGGAAGCGGTTGGAGCGGCGGCGGCGGGCGGCGCAGCAGCAGGGCCACGCTGGCGGCGAAGAAAGCCACTTGGAGCGCCAGGAGAACTTGGGAGGCTTCCACCATGGCCTGGGTTGCCTATAAATCTGAATTATTGTAGATCTTAGATCTATAGATCTATAATGATCTCTAGATCTTGATGGGGGAAGATGTAGCTATATGTATTGCATGATTTTGCCATGACTTGATGTGTATCTTTTTGTTACTGTCTGATGGCTTGTGGACATGGCCGGCTGATCATCTAGGTTTCTCGCCATGGGGCAGTTTTTTGGCCAGATGGCTCTTTTGTTGAATGATCGATTTGTGATTTGGTGCTCATCAAAAAATCAATGGCCATTTCAGGATCCTAAAATGGAGGTACCACCATATATAAGGATCCTGGAATTCCCATTGAAAAAAACATGGCTTTCAGGTCCCAAAGGTGAAGAAAACACCAAATTCGGATCATTCGCCGGTGCCATTGGGGGCTTGGTCCAAGGCGCAGCTGAAGCAAATCTGAGCCAAACGTCCACTTCCCATGAAAATCCATTAAGTATCTTAAATACATGCGTCCCGAATTGGTTTCTTCATTTCACGCATGTTTGGTGGTATCCTCCATTTTGAACCAGTCTTGTGTCTCCGCATGAAAACTTGCATTTAGCTTGCAACAAATGGTGACAGCAAATGATTTTCCTTTTCGCAATAGCATTTTTGAGCTTCCATATGCTCCCATGCTGACTTTTAAGGCTATAGATGCTATAGTATAGATCATCGCATCATTTGCCATTTGTTCACCCTCCTGAAATGAAACGTGGGAATGGAACATCCCTATGTCCAACAGGAAAAGTATCTATAGATCACAGTTTGATACCAATGGGGAGCTGTTTACAATGCATTACAATGCCATCTTGGAGGGAGACACCAACACCAATCACCGTGCAGTTGATGAATATAGCCCCCAGATGTTCCATCGCCGAACTTGCCAATTCGACATAAATAGTTATGATGGGTGGAAATTCCATATGTCTGTATGTATATATATATATATTCCCATATATTCCCATATGTTCCCATATAATAAGCGGAAATTCCATATAACTTGACGATTTTTTATGCGCTGAAGGGTAAATCCCATGTTTTCCAATTTTTTCCCCAGCTCCTCCGTGACCAGCGCTTGCAGGGACTTGATCTCCACAGGTGGAGCAGAACCGCCAGTGCCGGCACGCTCCTGGGTGATAAATCCCCTATGGAAATCCATCATTTACCCACGCTGGGCGGATTTCTTGGGGGGACGGATGTTTTTTCATGGAAAAAACCATGTTGCCCCCAGATATGGTGTGTTGCACATGGTCCTTTCTTAGCCTTTTTGGTGAGTTTGAGACTGGTAGAACCCATCCAGTTTTCATGGCTCTTGGATACCTCATCGAATCCCCGGCTGGTGAAACCTGCCAGGCCGGCTGTTTGTTTGTGGATAAGTTGATGAATAAAGAACGAAAACATGCCGTCGGAAAAGGGATACAAATCCAGAAACATTCATAGCAACATCCATTCAAGAGGGAATAACACTCCACACACACACGCATATATATATATACATATGTAATATATATAATTTATATCATATAATATATATATAATATTATATTATATATTATATAATATTATTTTATATTATATTACATTATATTATATTATATATAGGGCTCCTCCTCGCGCTTGGCCATGGCCCTGGCGTGTCTGGAACGCAAAGCCTGAGCAGAAAAGCCTCTCTGTGTTTTCAATGAACTATAGGGGTATCGCATGGATTCGCACAGAAAATCACCATTTTTAATAGGTAAACCATCTATTTCACGAGATCGCGGTGCAAGGCGCCTTTTAAACGCCTTGAGCCAAATTAAGTTAGGCGTTGTTACACCAAAGGTTTAGATATGGTGAAAACTGTGAATTAGCCCCAAGGAGCTTTCGTCCCCCCCCAAAACCTTGCAACAGACCCGCCAACTCCGCAAGCAAATGGGATTGTGGCCGCGCCAATCCCGTATGCTCACCGGCCAGGTTGATAGCACAGGTTATGGAAGTTAAAGGGCCTATAGAGCATGCCAAAAGTGAAACAAGATCTCTCACTATGCCCAGCAGCGCCAGCGGCAGATGTGCTTCAAGTCTTGAGCAGCCGCCCGCTCAGCTTTCCTGAGTCACCCGCGCGGAGCGCTGGGTTGACCCTGGGGGCAGTGTTCAGTTCTACTTACCAGTGGGCACTTTCGGATCCTTAGTCGGAGCGACACCAATCCTTGAGCGCATCTCAAGGAATTGAATCTTATTCAGGGCCTTAGTAAAGATGTCGGCTAACTGGTCCTTAGTGGGTGTCGGAATGATGATGAAATGGTTGGCATCCAATGCCTCCTTAAGTGCAGCAATGGAAATTCTGTGGGTTCGAGACATAGCCCGAAGTTTTGGGCTATATCCTGTCTGAAGAATCGTCACACATGCACTGTTGTCCTCCATTAACTCAGTGCTGACTGGCCTCTTCCACAAGATTTCCAAGACCTGCTTGAAAGGAATCCCTTCTGAGAAGACCCCTTCATTTACCGATGCAATTTCAGCCTCCGTGGTTGATCTTGCAACTGCAGTCTGGCGTTTTGAACACCATGACAAAGGAAAGAAGTCCCCTTCTGGTGAAGTTAAGACCAAATAAATCCCAGAATGACTTTTACATGTCATGATGTCCCCAGCTAGGTCCGCATCGCAATACAACCTGAGAACTGGAATTTCTGGGCTTTGAGGTACTGCCCCCCACAAACCGAACCGACAAGTGGATTTAATGTACCCCAACAAGCGTTTGATTTGCACATCATGATTCCGACTCCACTTTGAAATTGACCCTGCCAAGTGCACGATGGCATACGACAAGTCTGGTCTTGATAGCCTAGCTAACCATAGACATTTCATCAACAGCGCTGCTGCTTTTCCCGCCAAATGACCCTTTACTTCATACCCTTCAATGGATAACAAAGATTCATTGACGAAAGGAGTTTCAACAGGTTTCAAAAGACCGAATTCTGACTCATACATTTCAACAGCAGAATTGGCGTAGTCAACCATGGACATACAAACAGTCTTGCCTTTCCCCAAATCGAAGATGACATGGTCTCTTCCCAGATAGCGACCGGGTTCACAAACTTTGTCAAACTTGATTTCTCCCCTGATCACCTTCCAGAAAGCGTCGACTCCTTTTCGGGGACCTGATGCTATTACATCATCGACATAGGCAGCAACTAAAACGTCCCAATCTTTGAAATGCCAAATGCTAGGAAATTCTTCAATCTTTTTCCCTTTCATTTTCTTGGTCAGAATATGATCGAAGTACTCAAACCAAGCGTCACCTGAGATGGTATGACCATATATTGCTCGGTTCAATCGAGATGCAACGCGTCTGTACTTGCCATGCCATTCTGGTTTCCATATGATTTTGGGAATGATCGCATATGTAGGAACTTCACTGTTTAAGGGTGCCTGAAGATATGCCTTTGTGGCATCTGAAATCTCAACCTTGTTGTTGGGGCGCATTCCATGATACAGGACCATGTTTATAGAATGAACTGTCGCTGGTAAAGATTTCATTTCCTTGTAAATGGCCTTATCCCCAAAAGCGTCCTTACAATCATCGCCCCTGAACACCAACCTAGCTTTCATTTGTTGCTGAGATTCCGGGAGTTCTGCCCCTTTAATGTGGCAAATACCCATGATCTCCGCAATGTGAATCTTTTGTTGATTCTTCCGGGCTTCTGAAATGAGAGTGTCAACCTCATAAAGTTTGTTTTCATCCCATACCCCTATCTTCCGGAACTCAGCTGCTTCTTCTTGCAGTTTCCTTTTGGCTTCTGGGCTCCGGTTGATCTCCTCTCTGGATAGTGGCTTATGAACCAACGCCAAAACAAGCTGGGCCATCCACAGCCCTTTCTCCTCATGTGCTAAAACTCCCCCAACCGTGGGCATGGATGGGATAGCATTAAGCACCGTTTCAGAACACAAGGAAGAAACTATGACTGTGGCCATTTTGAGATTATAAAACCCCGATTCGGATGCCAATCCGCCTCCTTCAAGGTGGTCATGCTTGTGATTTTTGGTATGTGGGCATGTGTACCGGTTGAGTTCCACTGCCAACCTTCGAGAAGTCGTGACAACCCTCCACTCTTTGAGTGGCTTCTTGCCCTTGATGGTTAAATCAAACCCACATCCAGTAGGATACGAGGCGTAGAGGATGAAATCAGCAATATATTTCAACATGACTGGTTCTTTCCACCCGGAACAACCCTTAGGCCATTCAAAAGAAGTGCTCCCACCTGACAAAACTGCCAAATGAGAAAGATGATGGAACTTTCCAACTAGTGAAATGGATTTCTTGCGTTCATTTTGGAGGTAGTCCTGATACTTCTCCCCCTGAACTGCAAGATTTAGATTCTGAAGTTTTGAAAATGGACCGCAAGGAATGGAACCGAATAAATGGATTTTGTCCCCTTCTTGGATTCGTTCATGAAACCAATATTCAACTTGCTCAAACACCTGATGATGCAAGAGATCCCCAAAGTCCTCGGACAAACCCAAATAGTCAACATTTAGTTGTTGGGCAACCGTACAACAAGAACTGGATGAGGCGCAGCAAAACTCAACGAACCATTCTTTTTGATGCTTCATTTTTGAGGGTTTGGTAACCGGAGTTTGGGAACATACTTCCTGATACCTGAATGAAAGGTTTTCCTCATCCTCACCTTCTTCAGCCGCGTCAATCAAGATGGCAGCTACTACCTCTTTTCCTTTTTCCAATTCTTGTGATTCCCGGGAAATCTGTGATCCATGAGCAATGTTGATGAGACCGGCTACATCATTTGAGTCTTCGTGGTCATCCTCCAAAACTTCAACTTGTTCTGCTGGCTCCACCCCCCCAACCAAAGGTTCGGTTTCGCCGTCAATAGGTGCCTCAGTCAGATCCTTAGCACCGTGACCCACTATTTTGGGTTCCTGTTCGTCAAGAAGAGCATTGAATCTTTCACGGCACTCCTTGGTGTGGGAGTACAAGCCTTCTTTGCAGGCCT